ATTTCAATGTTCAGGAGGTGATTTTAATGGTACAAGGGTGACTAGGAGTATGAGGGACTTTGACTCTTTCATTAAGGAAATGAGACTTAAGGATCCACCATTAGGAAATGGTATATTTATTTGGTCAAATTTCAGAGAAAATCTAGCGTGTAACAGATTGGATATGTTTTTGTTTTATACTGAGTGGGTGGAATATTTCCCAAGGGTTAGACTGGAGATTTTGGCGAGGGCTGTATCAAATCATTGTCTTGTAGTGCTTGATTCAACTAAGATGAGGTGGGGGGCTGTCAACCTTTAGGCTTGAAAATATGTGGTTGAAAGATCATACATTAGAGGCCATTTTCAGGAGTGGTGGGAGCAAGGAAGGTACTAGGGATGAGAAGGTTTCAAATTTATGAAAAAATTGGAAAATATAAAAAATAGAATGAAGTGTTGGAATAAGGAAGTGTTTGGGGATATTAGAATAGCAAAGAATTATATTATGTATAGAATTAAAGATATTGATAAAATTGAGGAGAAAGGGGGGGGCGTTGGAAGATAATTTGACAAAGAAAGATGGAAATTAAGGAATAGATTTCAAGAGATGGTCTTTAAGGAAGAAATTAGTTGGAGGCAAAAGGCAAGAGTGAAGTGGATTAAAGAAGGGGATAATAATTCTAAGTTGTTTCGCAAAGTTGCAAATGGAAGAAAAAAAATGTTAATTGAGAAATTGGAATTGGATAACGGTGAGATTGTTGAGGAGGAAGGAATGATTAAGAGCAAGATTGTTGAATTCTATACCACTTTATATTCTAAATATGAGGGTGAGAGACCAATATTGGAGGGATTAGAATGGAGTCCCATTGGGGAAAGAGTGTTTGGAAAGTATGTTTGGGGAGGAAGAATTGCAAAAGGCTATATTTTAGTGTGGTCATGATAAAGCATCGGGCCATTTGTGAAATTAGATATAATGAAAGTGTTCAATGAATTTTTTCAGAATGGTGTGATACTATGATCAATGCAATTACTAATGTAATCTTTATCTGCTTGATTCCAAAGAAATAAAAGTTCATGAAAATGAGGGATTTTAGAGTTAGACCAATTAGTTTGGTGTTTAGTCTTTATAAGATCATCACAAAAGTTTTATCCTCAAGATTAAAGGAAATATTGTGTGATACTATTTTTGAATATCAATGAGCTTTTGTTAAAGGTAGGCAAATTCTTGGTTTTGCATTAGTGGCAAATGAGGTGGTGGAGGATTATAGAGATAAAGGTAAGAAAGGTTTTGTTTTTAAAATTGATTTCGAGAATCTTATGATTATTTTGATTGAAAATTTTTGGAATATGTTGCGAGAGTGAAAGGATATGGAGGGAGATGGAGAAAATAGATTATGAGATGTTTGTACTCTGAATTTTTCGATTATGATGAATGGAAAGTTTATGAGCAAATTTAAGTAAAGGATTGAGATAAAGAGATTCTTTATCTTCTTTTTTCTTTATTTTAGTAGCCGACGGTTTAAGTAGACTAGTGAAGAAGGCTGAAAATTGTAATTTGGTGGATGGTTTCACAGTTGGGAGAGATAGAATTTAGGTTTCTCATTTATAATTTGTTGATGATATTATATTTTTTTTTGAGGGAGAGAAGTTTTTAAATTTTGAGAACATTGTAGAGGTGTTTGGTTTGGTTTTAGGTCTGATGGTAAATTTGGATAAAAGTGTACTTGTGGCCCTTAATTCAAATGGAGAAAAGATTAGTATGGTAGCAAAATTGTTGGGGAGTAAAGTAGGTGAGTGGCCATTGAAGTATTTAGAGCTACCATTGATGGAAAATCCATTATCGTTATTTTTTGGGACCTGGTGGTGGAAAGAATTAGAAAAGGTTAGATGAGTGGAAGAAAACTTATATATCTAAACGAGGGAGGCTAACTTTTGTGTAGTCAGTTTTATCGAGCATTCTCACGTACTTTTTATCTATATTCAAGTTACCAGGGAAAGTGGCTAAGATTTGAAAACATGATGAGAGATTTTCTATGGGAAGATAATAGGGAAGGGAGAAAAGATCATATGATTAGTTGGGAGGTGATGTCTAGATCTAAGGTTGAAGGAGGTCTGCCTATTGGTAATTTGAAGGTAAGAAATATTTTTTTGATAGACAAGTGGCTTTGGAGGTTTTCCTTGAAAATAAATTCTTTATGGTATTTAGTTATCAGGAGCAAATATGGATTACATGCTACCAGATGAGACACTAATAGAGTTGAAAGTGGTAGTTTTCGATGCCCGTGGAAGTTTATTTCTCAAGGAATGACGAGATTTTTCTAAGAATTAAAGTTAGTGGTGGGTAATACGAAAAAAATTCAATTTTGGGAGGATGTTTGGACTGGAGAAAATAGTTTTTCATATTTGTTTCCTTGTTTCTATTATTTATCTCGTGTTGGTAATTCATTCATTCTGTCCATAATTCGGTCATATAGTTCTCTATATTCATGTGATTTTGGTTTTTCGTAGGAATTTAGATGATAGAGATACCATTGATATCATTTTACTTCTCGATATTCTTAATAATATTGTGTTGAATTTTGAGTTAGGTGATAAAAGAGAGTGGATGTTGGAATCATTGAAAGTTTTCTCATGTAGATCTTTCTTTGGTGGGGGAAAATTCTTATCCTTCTTTTGATCCTGCTTTGATGATATGGAAAGTTAAAGTATCTTTAAAGGTACAAGTTTTTGCATGGACAATAGCTCATGTTAAGATTAATACTAATGACATGTTTCAGAAAAGGAGACCTTACATTTGTCTTACTCCTCAGTAGTGTGTGATGTGTAAAGGTGAAGGTGAGAGTGTTTATTTATTTTTACATTGTCATGTTGCTTTGAATTTGTGGTATCGGTTGTTTCGAGAGGCAGGCTACAGTGGGGTGATCCCTCCTACATCCACTTTCTTGTTTAATGAAGATGTTAAAAGGGTTTGGAAGGCATGATAAAGGTGTTACTATATCGAATTGTGCAATCATTGCTACTATGTGGATTATTTGGATGGAGCGTAATTCAAGAATTTTTGAAGGCTGGAATGAGTGTATAGAAGGACTATGGGAGCACATTCAATTTTTTAGCATCGTTTTGGACTTCGGTTAGAAAGGCCTTTAAAGGAACTTTATTTTTTCTGTACAAGCGGGATGGAGAACTTCATGTGATTTATAGGCCTTTCCTTTCAGTTTTGCTTTTGAAATGTTACTGTAATTTAATTTTCTTTGTTTTTGATTGGATTTCTTATCCAGTCTCTCTTCGTATACCTCTTTTTATTTTAATACAAGAGTTATCTTTCCTATAAAAAAACGTAGAACTAGTATCACCTAATTAAATAAGTTTCCCATAAAAATGAACTTAAATTTTAAGTTAATGGGACCTTACTTAATGCTTATAACTGAACATGGTCAGTGATGGTTCTTTAAAATTTTTTTACCAAGCTAGCAAAACTACCTCCAAATATTATCACCACTACAACTTTTGCTCCTCCTCTCACTCATTACTGATCTGGTTCCTTCAATTGCAGCAATGAAAACCAACATCAAAGAAATCAGCTTTCCCCAAGCTCTACAGATAATTACACCACTGCCCCACGAAGGACCACTAAGAAAACAATTCACCATGCACATTTGTTGAAATGGAAGGATAACACATGGAACATAATAGTGGTGATTGGCACAATTTTCCAATACTTTGATTGATACAGTAACAACGGTGATAGTGCCACCTTTGTTGGTAGCAGCGATGTGATAATGTGCATGTAGTGTTCATGGTGGGCGGTGAAATTTTTTATATTAAGTTATCGGTGGTGGTGGTTCCAACTAAACTTAGGCGTTGTGTTGATAAATTTTGGAGAAATTTCAGGTAGTGATGTTTCCAGTCGTTTCATGGGTTTGGTTTTGAAGACGTAATGATGGAATCAATGGGTGATATTTCTAAAAGTTCTAAAAGTGGGATTTTGTTTGCAGTTGTGTTTGATGGGTCTATATACTTATGTTGACAACTAAAGTAGAGTGCTAATGAGTCGAATACTACACCATCTATGTGAAATTTTTTTTGAATTGGGTGGCATGTGAATTGGAAATTTTAATTTGTTATATAGTGGAAGGGTAGAATTGAATAATTATTCATTTTCAGAGTTCATCTCCGTGTACTTATCAAACAATTTGATTCAATTAAGTACTTAAATTTTAGTGGAAACCAAACAGTTTACAAATTAACAGATTCAACATTTAACACTTATAATTCAGTTTTCAGGAATTAGCTTTCAGTTTTATGAAACAGCACTTAATCACGATATTAAAGTGAGTCATTTCAGTTTTAGCTTTCACTTAATCACGATATTAAAGTTTGATATTTTTAGAAGGACTAGCTTTGACAAAAAGGTATTCAACATTTATATGTGGGTTGTTTGATGTAGATTGACGTTGCAGTTTGTTTCTTGTTGCTATACTGCTTGACTCTGCATCAGATTATCTCCGGAACAATTTTGCAACTCGCAGTTCATGAATGTGAATTTGGCTAGTTCCTCTTTTTCATCGAGAAAAATCAAGGAATAATGTGTTGTAATTAAACGACATGCATACTGCATTCATGTATGTAATGGAGTTTTTTTATTAACATTTGATGCTACGACATTAATTTCTATGTAAAGAAGGGACAATAAGTATGCATTTGAACCATTCACCATCTAGGTAGAGACTGACCAAAACATTCTCCTCCTTGCTTGTGAACTAGGTGGATAGAAACTTTATTATGTTCAATCAGATACCTCTTCCTGTTTTTTGGATGTTTGTATATGTCTACTGTTGTTGACATTTACGATGTAGTGATTCATTGTTAGTTAATGATTTTCAATCTTAGTGCCTATATTGACATGGTTTCGTGTGTGTATTTGTTATTATTTTTAACCTATTGATGCTCAATTGCTTTCTTTGTGGGCTGCCTAAAAACCTACTTCATCTGTATTAATAATCAGTTGTAAGTTTATATCTTTTCAGCATAAAGCTCCTTTCATAGAGGAACTTGAAGACCAGATGCAGAAACTTCATGAAGAACGAGCTGGAGCTATATTAGAAAGAAGAGCGGCTGATATTGCTGATGAAATGATGGAACTGGAAGCAGCTATAAATGCTGCAATGTTAGTTTTTAGTAAAAGTGGTGGCAGTGCTGCGATGACTGAAGCAGCAACAAGTGCAGCTCAGGCTGCATCTGCTGCCACAAGAGAATCAAGAAATCTTCCGGTGAAATTAGATGAATTTGGTAGAGATGTAAACGTGCAGAAACGGATGGATATGACAAGAAGGGCAGAGGCACGACAACACAGGAAAGCACAATCAGATTCTAAGAGAATGATGTCTATGGAAAATGATAATTCCTATCAGCAAATAGAAGGAGAATCAAGCACGGATGAAAGCGATAGCGAGAGTACAGCATACCAGTCAAACCGTGATCAGTTGCTTCAGATTGCTGAACAGATTTTGGGTGATGCAGCAGAGGAATATTCTCAACTTTCAGTTGTTATAGAAAGGTTTGAAAGATGGAAGAAAGAGTATTCATCAAGCTACCACGACGCATATATGTCGCTAAGTGTACCTGTTATCATCTCTCCATATGTAAGATTGGAGCTGCTGAAGTGGGACCCACTTCATGAAGATGCTGATTTTATTGATATGAAGTGGTACGTAAGCTTATATCTTAAACCTTGTAGGTGTTTATGAGGTGACTAATTGCTGGCTAGGTCAATGGTTGAATGATAGGCATGAATCCATCATGGGAAAAAACAAAATGTTTATCATCTGCATCTGCGTAATACCTGTTTTGGCCTTTCTTTTCATTTATTTTTCTTGAAACTCAATCCTATTATGGTTTATGTCAAGTCAAAGATAGGTTTTTCCTCCCTGTATGCTAATCATGTTGTGGCTGCTTGTACAATATGTCTTCTTTGCCTTTTTTCTTTCCATTTGGTTTTGTGTTTTTTTTTTTGATACATAGTGTTTGTTTTTGGTTTAGGCATTCTTTATTATTCAATTATGGCCTTCCGGAAGATGGCAATAAAATCAGTCCTGATGATGCCGATGCTAACCTTATTCCTGAACTGGTAGAAAAGCTTGCAATTCCCATTTTGCATCATCAGATAGAATTCTGTTGGGATATGCTCAGTACTCGTGAGACAAAGTACGCCGTTTCGGCCACAAATTTGGTCTTTAGATATGTTCCACTTTCCAGTGCAGCTCTTGGCAACTTAGTGGCTATTCTTCATGACCGTCTAGCTCATGCTGTGGAAAATCTGATGGTATATTGCTAAAGCTCTTAAATCAAACTTCCTGGACATGTTTACACCCCTGTTTGATAAAGTGGATGGAATATCCATGATTGTCTTATATCATTTTCGGAAATCAAACTCTCTTGTAATTTAAATTGATAGGTCCCAACATGGAACACACTTGTGGTGAGGGCTGCGCCAAATGCATCACGAGTTGCAGCATATAGGTTTGGCATGTCTGTTCGTTTGATGAGGAATATATGCTTGTGGAATAAGATTCTTGCGATGCCTGTCTTGGAGAAGCTTGCTCTTGATGACCTTTTGAGTGGAAAAGTTCTTCCTCATCTTCGGAGCATTCAATCAAATATTCACGATGCAGTCACCAGAACTGAAAGGGTCATCGCTTCATTATCTGGTGTGTGGGCTGGCCCAAGTGTCACAGGGGAGCGCAGGTATGGTTAGTTGGGATGCTTCACACTTTGCATGCTTAATATTTAGTCCTTTTGCTTTCGGAATGGCATTGGCTGCTCTTTGTCATTACTTGGGGTTGCTAATTGAATTCAAGGGTTAATTTGCTGTTCAATATTAGCTGGATAAAATTTTATGGTGCTGTGGGTTTGTTTGGAGTTGGTAATTCCTTATTGACCATGGTGCTCTCTGCTTCTTGTTAGTTTTTTTTTTTTTTTTTTTTTGTGATGGCATTAATGATTACACTTGTGCACTTTAGGTTGCATATATCTGTAGGCAATTTCTTCTCTTGATTCTGTTCTGGAAGTTTAAATGTAGTTGTCATACTAAAGTCGTGCTTGCACTATAGGAACCATTCCTGTTTAATTACTGAATAACTGACCAGAGCTGCACCTTGGGGTGGTTTTGCAACCTCCCTTGCCCCCCCGGGGGAGGGTAGACGGACAATGAAGCCTTAATGTTTGGTAACTTGGAAGTCAATGTGCTGGTAGATAGTTGATGACCAAGTAATCTTTCATTGTTTAGACCATGTCTGAGCCGAAAGGTTTTTGCAACCTCCCTTGCGCCCTGGTGGAGGGTCAATAAAGCCTTAATGTTTAGTAACTTGGACGTCAATGTGCTGGTAGATAGTGGATGACCAAGTAATCTTTCATTGTTTCAACCATGTCTGAGCTGAAAGGTTGACTGATACCTTGGGTTTCTGCTCCTCTCTTTACTTTTGTGGTTTGCCTCATTCCCCTTGATCTAGGGCTTCAAACAGAGTAGATAAGAGGTCCTAATGCTGAAGCACTGCTTGACTAGATAAATATATTTGGAAGCAAAAATTAAGGGCTTTTGCCTTCACTGAAGTTGAGTGTGTATTTGTAGGATTGGTTTTCGGTTCTAATTCGAATTGTACTTTTGCCCTCTACTTAGACAAATTTGATTGGTTTGGTGGAAACCAAAGTGAGGAGTGGAAAGGCGGCCAGAATTACCAGATGCTTGGGAAAGGATTGTAGCAATGTAATTGGTGTGGGGAATGAAGCCAGGAACGGCAGAATTTGGGAAATAAACTATGACATTAACAAGATAGAGAGATCCGCTTGCTATGTGATTTGAGCCCAATTGTTGTCTTTTCCTTCTTTGTTTTTTGGGTTTCTCCACCATAAAACACTCAGTGTTGTTTTTGCTTGAATGACTCAACCCATTAGGACATCCATGTAAGAAACATTAATTATTGTTCCAAAGAACAATCACCAATAAGGGGCATAAAGTCCCCTATGCATGTTAGGTGCACATAATGTGGTGCGCGTCCCTGAACAACAAATAAGGAACTCTTCATTTGTCTTTTTGATAGGATAAATGAGGGGCAATGCTTGATTTTTCCTGTCCTCTCTGCCTTGAAAAAGATACTTTCTCAATGTAAGTGTATTGAGATCAAAAAAAAAAAAAATGTTAGTGTATTTGAAAATGCACAAAGTGCTGCAGGCCCATGGGTCCTTGTGGCAGCCAGTGTGTAGATAAAAGCTTGAGGTATGTGTGTTTAAACCTTGTTCCCAATAAAGCAATTGCATGAGATTCTTATTCTCCTCACTTCCCAACCACCCACCCTCAGAAAACAGTTAATTTATAGATATGAAGGGTCTTGGCAGATTTTGCTGTGACAGGTATGTGTGATATGGTTACATGCTTCTTGAAATTTTATGTTTCTTGCTGTTTCTCTCCTACCAATTTCTTCATGCTGGATGTTATGTTATTTTCGGTTTCTTTTCCTTTCTCTTTCCATAGATGGACCGAGGACATTTAAAAGTCAGGTGATCAGAATTTGGCTTTTCGGCAGTGAATTCATTTCTTATATGTATCTGGTCATGGTTGCATATCAAAGCACATTGGGAGTTGTATTTTGAAGTCGCCATGATTTATTGCCATAGAATCATTTAATCACAACGAAGCTATGAATTAACATGCCTCTAACATGCTGGACAAAAGTGATGGAAACAGCTTCCCATTTGACGATTTCCTAGAACTTTTATTTGGATCACATAACATAACTGGGACGTAGGTCCCTATGAACAACAATTTCAGCAGGAATAGATATCAGAACTCCCTTTTTTGTAAAATAGTATCCCGTGTGTTCTTTTGTCACGTACATGTTCTTCTACTCTGCTGTAATTTATTGATTCACAATTGGATCAAGTATAGATTCTGTGCTGTCTTCAAATTCATGTTGCACCCAATTCAACAAAAAAAAAAACGTGTTGCATGCTTAGAATCTTCCTCATTTTTTATATTTCAAATTCCATTGATACGATACGCAGCTTGAAGTTGCAACCACTGGTGAATTACTTGCTGATACTTGGAAAGATACTGGAGAAGAAGCATGTTTCGGGTGGGATGGAGACCGAGACCAGTGGACTTGCTCGTCGATTGAAGAAGATGCTGGTTGAGCTCAATGAATATGACCACGCCAGGGCAATATCTCGGACCTTCAGTCTCAGGGAGGCACTGTGATCTCTCTCTCTTGGCTGTCCAAAAGGTACTACTGCCTTGTAATTCAAGGAGTTTTGTAGTCGTACAAATTTTCTAAAACAATCTTCTTTTGTGGTTCTTTTGTTCAAAAGTAGGGGTCAAATGAGTCTTATGAAATCATAATACACCTCAATGCAAGTTCATTTACTCATGTCCGAGTGTCTTGATGATTAGTCCACTGTTACTATCCTCTTGATTCAAATCTATATCATTATAGCTTTCTTGCTTCTTGTTTAGTGGTAGGTTACTTATCATAAATTCAAGTGGAACCCACTTTATTCAAGTTTGAAAGTATTACCTTTTATTTCTGGTAACCCAACTCCCAGTTTAATCTGTTCATTATAAAAAGATGGGAGTCATTCAATCCGACCCTTTATTTACTTGAATTAGTCTGCTAGCCGGTGTTTGAAGTGCTGTTCAAGTGTGTTGAGAGAGAGAGAGAGAGATTACGTAGGTGGGTAGGTGGTAAGTCTTGTTTAATCTTGTTTGGTATTAATTGTAAATGGTAAAACATCATGTAAGAATTATAAATGAGGCAGCTGGTGAATAGTTGGACTCCATCAGGCTCGACCTCAGTTTAAATATAAAACAAACTTAAAAAAACTATTTAATATTAAAAAATTACTTCTACAGGTTTGGAAGTATGTCGTCATACAAAATCATTGTACATGTGTCTTATTCACATGAGCCTGTCATGTTCGCTGGCCAACTGTGTTGTTGGTAGGATGACTGGCTAATGGCATTTGCAACCGTGAAATCAATATAAAGTGGGGTTTTTGAGAGTCGGTGAATGAAATTGGTTAAAAAATTTATAAAAAAAATATTTTTTAAAAAAGTCCATTTCAAACATAGAAAGATTTGAATACCATTTAATTGCAAATAAGTTTCTTAAATTTTTTTTTTCTAAAACCCCCCCCACCTCCACCCCCACCTGCACACACACGCACACACACACACATATATATATATATATCAGAAAATTATAACTCATAATAAATCATTTTTATTTTTTTAGAGATATATTTCAATTTTTTTGAAAATTTTTAAAATTTGACAACTAAAATTAAAGAATTTTAATTTTAGATTTAATTTGGTCACTTATATAACTACAAAATTATATATATATAATATTACGAAGTCATATTATGAAGATTAGTTTCTATTACTCGTATACTGTTTTGATACACTATATTGATGCACTTTAATTTCATAAATTCTTTAAAATGTATCAAAATAGTGTAGCAATAATAGAAATGATGATTTAAAATATAATTTTGTATTATTATATATATAGAGTAATGTGATCATTTAAATTTCACATCATAGTCTTAGGTAGGCATTTTTGATGTGGACCGCTAGACCATGATATAACGTCTATTAATTCTAGATGCTAAATATTAAATATCAAAATTTACCAAATTTCGTTGTGAAGTAAAAAAGAAACTATAAAACTATATGAATTATTGTTTTTATCATATAAGGGAAATAAATTAGTCTTGTAATAATATGGAATCTTTTACAAAGAATGAAAAGAAAATATTAATTAGTCTACAAGATTTTCACATTAATAAAGAAGATTTCATAATAAGCGGAGGAATCAAATCTTGCATTAAATTAGAAATATTTTAATGCACAAATAAAAATTGAAACTCAGAAGGTTCCCAAAAATAATTGCCTGATTTAAGAGAGTACACAAATGTCAAAGAAAAATCTAAAAATTTTAAATTGTGTACTTGGACAGAATTAAAATATAAAATTAAGGATTTAGTCACTTAACATAAAGTGTTATGAACTTTTTCACAATTAAGTCTAATTTTGTGTATCCTATTCTAATTTCTTGATATAAAGTTAACGTATTTGAGTTTATTTGTTAGTGAGTGTTATAGAGCTAAATGCTCAGACCCGGACCACCCTTGTTTGCTAAAGAGGCAGATTTCGAACAAGTACATACCTTAGTGCCTAGAAGGAAGTTTTCACCAATTTTGTTTTACTATACAAAGAAATTCTCATTGAGAGCAAATTAAAGGAATGGTCTTGATCAGAATGTGATTAACTTTTACTTCAGCAGTGATAGAGATAACATAGTTGTAGACAGGAGTAGGGTCTTAAACGATTTGTATGAATATTGTATATTTCAATAACAGAAGAAATTACAATATATAGTGATTAGTTTCTTGTGATTAAGGACATGTAAGAGGAAACTAAATCAGCCTATAAGGAGAGAAATTAGTCTAATTAAAGAGTGATTATAGAAGAGATTACAGTGAATATTACAATAACAAAAGTAAATTCTATACATAAATGAAATCTTAAATTAGTGCTCTATCATGCTCCCGCAAGTGCAAGGATCCGGGAAGGATGCTAAGCTTGGATCGACGCAGCTGAAATTGCTTTCGAGTGAGAGGCTTGGTCAAGGAATTGGCAAATTGATCGGTTGTGTGGACATGAGAAATACGAATCAACTTGCAAGCCACTTGATCACGAACAAAGTGAAAGTCGATTGCTATATGCTTCATGCGAGAGTGAAACACTGGATTAGAGCAGAGGTATATTGCACCAATGTTATCACAATAAATGGACGGCAAAGACGAGAGTGTAACACCAAGTTCACCAAGGAGATTAGACAACCATTTAACTTCGGCAGTGGCAGACGCAATAGCCCTGTATTCGGCCTAAGTAGATGATCGATCAATGGTAGACTGCTTTTTAGAGCTCCAACTGATTGGATTAGAGCCAAGAAAGACAACATAAGCAGAAGTGGAGTGGCGAGTGTCAGCATCACCAGCCCAGTCGACGTCTGAGAAGGCATGGAGAGATGATGGTGAGCGAGCGAGCGAATAGAAACAGGCCATAGTGAGAGGTGCCTTTTAAGTATCGAAGGACACGCTTAACAGCATTCCAATGATTAGTTGACGGTCGGTGCAAAAATTGAGCCAACTTGTTAATTGCAAAGCTAATATCAAGGCGAGTTAGAGACAAGTATTGAAGAGAGCCAAGAGCCTGACGGTACGCAGTTGGATCATGATTGGGCGAGCCGTCGTCGAGCTTCAAAGATTCAGAGGAGGACAATGGTGTGCTGATTTCCTTGGCTTCATGCATATTAGTTTTGTGAAGAAGGTCAATGATATACTTCCATTGACACAAGAAAAGACCGGTTGAGGTCCTGGTAGTTTCAACACCAAGAAAGTAGCTGAGGCTGCCAAGATCCTTGAGGGAGAACCGAGTAGATAAACGAGATGTGAATGCACGAATGGCTGATGAATTATTTCCAGTGAGAATGGTGTCGTCCACGTAGACAAGAAGATACATTGTTGTAAAGTTGGAGCAATGGATGAAGAGAGAGGCGTCACTTTTGAAATTGAGAAATCCATTGTCAAGGAGAAAAGTGCGAAGTTCATTATACCAAGCCCTAAGAGCCTGGCGAAGATCGTATAGAGCTTTATGTAGTTTGCAAACATGAGTCAGATTTCAGAAATCAATGAACCCTTGGGGTTGCTGCATAAAAACATGGTCAGAGAGAGTATCCTGCAAGAAAACATTATTAACATCCAGTTGATTCAAGATCCAACCACGAGACATCGCTATACTGAGAACGATACGAATAGTGGTGGGTTTAACAACCGGGCTAAAGGTTTCATTGAAATCTATGCCAGGGCATTGGTGAAACCTTTTAGCCACAAGGCGAGCCTTGTAACGTGCAATGGAATCATCAAGATTTTTCTTGATTTGATAAACCCATTTGCATCCAACAATGTTTTGTGTGGGGGAGGCAGGGACTAGGGACCATGTATTATTTGTTTGGAGGGCCTGAATCTCTTCATTCATGGCTTCACGCCATTGAGGAAGTTTGTTGACCTGTGTAAATGAGGATGGTTCAATGAGGATAGAGGGATTGGCCGTAGTAGTAGTGAGAATGGTATTTTCGGTTTGTGTATGTTGTTTTGGGCTTGTGTTACCATTCGAGAAGGTTGTGGTGATGTGTCAGGGGGTGGAGATGAAATGGGTGATGTATTTAAGGACGATGAAGAAAAAGAATCACTTACCTGACTAGGAGAGGTGTGGGAGTCATCTAAGTTGGGGGAGAGAGTAGGAGTTTCCTGGGGAGAGGTGGACAATTGAGCTGCTGGTGATTGCATATTTAAAGTGGGAGTTGACTGATTTGTTATCTGATTAGAGCATGGAGGATTTATAGGAGATAGCATTTGTGGAGACAAATTTGTAGTAATGACACATGGAAGAATGTTTAGATTAGGAGGAGAAGAATCTGACGAGGTATTAATGAGTGAAGATTTACTTGCCAGATTTTTTTCTGTAAAAGTAGAAAGTAATTTTGAAAAAGACTGGTTAGTGACTGATAATTCATTACAAGAAATATTTTTGTAAGGAAAGAGATTTTCAAAAAAGACAACATGTCTATAAATAAATGTTTTGTTAGTTTTTGAATCAAAACAGATAAAAGCATGATTTGGAAGTGAAAAACTGAGATACACACAAGGTCGAGAGCGTGACTCAAGTTTGTGGTGATTGTAAGGCCAAAACCATGGGTAACAAAGACACCCGAAAACACGGAGGGTTGTGTATTTGGGGTGGTGGCCGAACATTTTTTGGTAATACCTTGAGAAGAGAAACCTCGGCCATAGGATGAGTGCTGCTGAGATTGATTAGGTTGAAGACCAGATTGGTTGAAGTTTGATGGTTGTCTAGGATGGCCATTGGATTGTCCAGAACAACCAAGAACTGAATTGGAGGGATTGAATCCGCTTTTATTTCCTCTACCACCCTTGCCTTTGTAGTTGTTTTGCCTTTGAGTGAATTGAGCAGTAATATGTGTATCGTCCTCTTTAGTGTGTCCATGATTTTGGGTTAACTCCTCATCAAGAAGTTTGTCGTAGAGATCCTCAAAGGATATAGGTGAGTCACGAACACGAACTGCAGTCGTTAGTTCCTTGAACTTGTCAGCAAGACCATTTAGAATATGAGCCATGATTTCTACATTACTCAGGGGATGGCCAATAAGAGTTAGATCGTCAACAATACCTTTTATTTTGCTCATATAGGTGACAACTGATTTCCCTTCTTTCTTGGTATTCATTAGCGTGGACAGAAGAGAGAGCATGCGGGTATTGGATAGATTTGCATAAATTGATTTTAGTTTGGTCCAGGCATCAGCGGAAGTAGGGCAGTTGTTGATGGTGGGACTGATTGTGCCATGAACGGTGGATTGAATCGCAAGTAGCACTAGTCGATCCTGGCGAAGCCAAGTGATGTGTTCCTGATCGATTTTTGGTGGACATGGATAAGAGCCATCAACATAACCGAGTAGACCATAACCGAATAGGAGATTGGTCATTTGTGATTTCTAGGAAGCATAATATTATCCTCCTTTTGCTAGCTTGAATGGAATCTAAGATGAGGCATTCAAAGATATCAGATTGTTGCCCGGAGAGGTGGGGTTACCTTGATTCAGTCGGGTGATCATTGGTGTCGTTACAACAGGGGTAGCTCCAGTTGACGCAGCTGAATCAAAGGTGGGAGAGGTCGGTGGTGTTGCCATGGTTGATAGGTGAGAGTTTTGGCAGAGCTGAAAGAAATGGAGGAAGGAGATCGAATAGAGGAAAGAAGATCAAATTCTGTTCTATGACAGAGGGTGCTCTGATACCATAAACGATTTGTATGAATATTATATATTTCAATAACAGAAGAAATTACAATATATAGTGATTAGTTTCCTGTGATTAAGGACATGTAAAAGGAAACTAAATCAGCCTATAAGGAGAGAAATCAACCTAATTAAAGAGTGATTACAGGAGAGATTACAGTAAGAAAAGTAAATTCTATACATAAATGAAATCCTAAATTAGTGCTCTTTCTGGTCTGAGACAGGTTATATATAATAAAGAAGGGAATGACATTGCAATTTTGGTGGGTAACTGTTGTTGTTCTCATCGTTTTACCGGACCTTGAGTTGCCTTATTCAAACAAACTTGTTTACCTAGTTGGGCTTAATGCGTCCCCGATTTATAAGGACGCCCCACCCCTTGTTGTGTTTGTTTTTTTACCTTTGTCAATTTGGTCCATAAAGTATTCAATTTGGATCATTTTATCCTTTACATAGACGAAATGTTAAGTTTTTGACAAAATGATCATGTGTTGGGTACATCATACTATCCAAAAAAATGATACATGGTTACTTTCGTAAAAAAAGTTTGATGGATTGTCTGATCAGGGATCAAAGTAATACGAATCGAATATTTTAGAGATCAAATAAACAAAATTGAAACAATGAGAACTAAATTGACAAAAATTATATACTTTATGGACTAAAAAATGCTATTAACCCTAAATTTTAATATTGGTGTACAAGTAGTTCAATTAGAATTTTGTTTAACAATTATTCTTTCCTCTTTTTTAGGATGTAATATTGATCGCAAATAGGACTTCAAAAATTATAAAGAGTGTCCTTACATTATACTAATTTCGAGAAAATGTCTCTTATTATCTATTTTTGGTTCGACAATACCAGAAGTAGGACATGCTTGAAAGTGAGAGCAAAAGCTGTCTCAAATTTTTTTTTTTTCAACGGTATGTGGTGTTTGAATTAATTTATATATATTTTGATTAATCTATTTTTTATTTGAAAATGTAAATTGAATTCTCAACCATTAGTCAATGCAAAGTCAGAGAAATAATAAAGGTGGGTGGTCAAAACAGCAACCCAAACCGTAGAGTAATTATTACTTTTTTAATGGAGGACATTGCATTTCGAGATGCTCTTAGCACCCGGAAATAAAATTTAGACTGTTTGTGCTGAAGATTAGGTGGACATTCCATTGTTATATGTTCTTAAACTCAAGCTTGCATCGTTCACCTCGTCACGTTGTTGCCATCTCTCTCTCTCTCCCCAAGACTAAAGAATGACTGTGTCACCTTGTGTGAATGGTGTTTCAGCCAACGGGGATCGGGTCCTGATCATAGGTGCAACCGGTTTTATGGGTCAGTTCGTTGCCCAAGCTAGCCTTGACTCAGGCAAACCCACCTACGTTCTCTTGCGGTCATTCCCTAGTTGTCTTCTAAAAGCCAAAGCCACCAAAGCTTTTGAGGATCAAGGGGCCATCATTTTATTCGTATAATCTCTCTCTCTCTCTCTTTCACACACACACACACACACACAATGTATTGGGTGTAATTGTCAGGCCACATACATATGTATATGAGTAATGCTACAATGTCTGTCTCTAACTTGGGTTATAATGCGGGAGCAGGGTGCTATGGAAAACGAAGAATTAATGGAGAAGATATTGAAGGATCACGAGATAGATATAGTAATATCAGCATCTGTGCCAGCATATTAGACCAACTTTACCTTGTCCGTGCCATTAAATCAGTCGGAACAATTAAGGTATGCAGCAGAACAAAAAATGCTCCGGGAGAATGAAAATTAAGCAGAATGAAAAGTAGGAGGGACACACGTTTTATCTTTGAAGGATGAAAAGTAAAAATGATACAATTTCCTTCTTTTATATTTGGTTGGATGGATGAAAAATAAAAATAAAAATTATTATTATTTTTTTTTTGTGTTGGCTAAGATTAGGGGTGACAATCGAATCGAGTCGTGTCGTTTTAGATTCGTGTTAAATTATTACGAGTTTGTGTCGAATATTAATCAAACTTAACTTAACTCATTTAACTAATTGTGTTGTGTCGAGTCGAGAGTTGATCTGTTTATTTTCGTATCGAGTTTGAGTCGTGTCATCGTGTTGAGTTTAAAATTTTCACTCTTAGTTAAAATGAAAAAATATATTTTTTTTAATTTAAATTTTTATTTTTTAAATTTTTTTTAAAAATATATATACATATTTTGTCATTGTATTTTTATATAAAATTAATATATACATAAGATATATCTCAACACAAATAATTAACTTTCTATCCACTTTCCTTCCGATTTTAGAGAGATTGATTTTAGTGAGTTGAAAGAAAAGTTAATTCATTTATTTTTTCATCCTTCCTACTTTCTTTTTTTTCCTAAACATGATGTTTTTTTTATCCCTCCAACTTTTCATCCCCCCACTTTTTTATCGTATCAAACGGAGCATAAGAATGATGGAGATTATATGTGTTCAGGCAATAAAAGATTTATTCTTCATGAATATTTTAATTTCGATGTGGATAATTTATTTTTGATTGAATCAAAGAAAAAATTAATCGAGCTGTGCATAAGCTACTCCGAACATTACTGGTTAGTTCAGACATCACTCTTTTTATCAAAAAAAAAATAAAAAAAAATATTACTTATGTGTTTTTTAAATTTGTGGTCATTACATGAACTCTAAAATCACGTAATCATTTTTAATCCACCAAAGATAAACTCTAAATTGATGGTGAACTTCGTTTAATATTGAGATTTACTGATAATTCAACGACTAACGAGATTGGAGCAGAGGTTTTTGCCATCGGAGTTTGGACATGATGTAGATCGGGTTGACCCGGTGGAGCCAGGACTAAGCATGTACAAAGAGAAACGGAGAGTACGACGTCTGATTGAAGAGTTAGGTATACCTTACTCATATATTTGCTGCAACTCCATTGCTTCCTGACCCTACTACGACAACACCCACCCTTCCCAAGTTCTCCCACCTCTGGATCAGTTCCCCATCTACGGGGACGGAACCGTCAAAGGTAAGAGAGAGAGAAACTATCTTTAATTTTAGATTCTAACTAGGGTAATTCGAACCTAAAGTCATAGTGTAATATGAATAATTTTAAATAGAGTATTGATAGTCATTGAATAAATTTATTTGAATTTATTTGAGATCGTCGCATATACTTATTAAAACTTATTTTGTATTAAAATTTATTTTATTTTATATTATTAATTGATTCATTTGTACCCATGCGTAGAATTGTGCATATTTGAGGGTGGGCACAATCTCCTAGAAAAAAAAAAGTTATTTTTACACACACACACACACATATATATATATATTGTTGTGTAATATCTCATTTGTGCCCACCCAAAACCCAAAAAAAAAAAAAATTGGCTATGCCACTCAAAAAAAAAAAATTAAAAAAAAAAAGCTAGTCCACCATGCCGCCAACCACTCATTTTCTATCCTCTTTTTTTTTTCCTCTCTCTCTTCTAAAATTATGGATTTGTCAAAAATTAGTTACGCTTAGAAATTATAATTTTATGCATTTGTATTTGTATTTGTATTTTCTTCCTATTGCAATATGTCAATATCTCATTTAAAATACTAGCCATAGAATTGACAAATAATTTATCTAATGTTTGGTAACAGAGTTATAATTAACCCCCTTTTTGCTGATATTTTAATTGCATAAACTATGTTTGTTGACTTTTGGTCTTTTTTGTATTTAATGAAGTTTTTACCTAACTAATATTATTTTAAAAATACAAATATATCACATTTTTTTTATTTATTGGAAGAAAAAAAAATTAAATCTTGTAGTTATAGTGTGCCCACTCTAGAAGAAATTCTTAACTCTGCCCTGTTTGTACCAATCTATTGTTAGGATGATTAAATATTATAAAATTAGTTATTTCTCGTACGGAGTAATAAAAAATAGTTAATAATAAAAATATTTGTATTCACACCCAAAATCAAATCACAAACATAAAGGAGTGATAAAAAATTTTAAGTACTAATTGTAATGGAGGTGAACGGTGTAAGTGGTGATGAGCAACAGTGGTGATGGTGAGAGACGTGATGGTTGTGGTGAATTTTAGGCAACAGCGGTGGTGGTGGTGGCGACGACAATAGTGGTGGTGGTGGCGATAGAGGCGACGGCAGCGGGGGGGGGTGGTGGCGGTGGTGAGGCAGTGACAAACACTATTTTTTTTTAAAGTATTTATGAGAAATAATTTTTAAAAATAATTTTAAAAAGTCAATCCAAACACATCTTTAACGACCTATTTTTCCTATTAAATTTGGGTTATTTATATTATACCTTAGATTAACTTTAATGTAAAATTTAAAACGATTTTAACCGCGAATAACAAAAGTCATTTTATTTATCTTTTGAGATTTAAATTGTAAGCTACTTTATTATATAGATATCAATATAAATATTTTATAAGTGTCATTTTTTATTAAATGAAAAGTAAAATATAATATTAAAAAATAATTTTTTGATTCTATGTTTCAAATTACTTTTGTCTTTCATGTGTTGGTAACTCTTCTTGTTTGTTATGAAGAATATTTTTACCAACTCAGAAAGTGTTCCGTCTTAGCCATTTTTCATATGATAATATTATTTGTACTTAATTTTTTCTATCTAATTTATCATAATTATTAGATTGATACCGACTCCTAAAAATACTAGGAACTAAATGAGTGATTAAATTAATAACTGAGTTTGATGAAGTTATGATAGTGAAGCTGATACTGTAGATTTACCCACAATTTTTAAGGACTTTTTCAATTGGAGGACGTGGGTGATGTTTCTTCGGATATTTTGTCTTGGGCATTTTTTTTAAAACATATTTGACTTTAAGTATCATCGTCAAAGTTATACTCCATTAAGTTATATTATTTATCAAATTATTGTCATTAAGTATACATTTTAAATTATTTTTGTTTATATTACTTAATTACTCCTGATAAGGATGAAAATTAAGACATGGACCTTCATAATCCAAGAACCCAATAAGCTCCAAGAACCCTTTGATTACCCAACAGTACAAATAGGGTGTCCACAACTTGCCTCGTCGGAAGTATAAAAGGCCGGACCCTAGGAGGAAAAGCCCAACTTCACTATAAGGCTTGCAACCCAATCCTATCCGGTCAATGAGCAACCTAGGGTAGAGAGGCCCAGCCTAATACGAACTCCAGAGCACCCTGTTGAGCCATGTGTCCAAAGGGGAAAGATACCATCACTGACGACTTAGCAGTCACACACTCTCGGATGCAGAATATATTGGTGCCCATAACCATCTAGAGATCGTGGAAACAGTGACGCCGGATGACAGAGGTTGCTACAGGGTACGGACGGGGGGACCAACGAAATTGGCACAAAAGAATGAGGAGCAGCAGAAAACCCTAGATGAATCATTGTATAAGTAAAGAATTGTTACCCAAGGGGGACAATCTCTTCTTCTCCATTATTCACGTCCTCAAGCCAAGGACCTAGCAATTAGAGCAAAACACACAACCCTTGAAAAGAATCTCCGAGTCTGAATCATTGTTGTACTAGCCAAGGATTAAGCAATATACGACCGCAAGGGGTAAAAGATTTCATTTCATTTTAGTCCTTCAGCTTAATAAACCACTTACATCTTGCGCTCCTTCAGTCTCTTATGATTAATCATCCAATCATAAAATTACAATCGAATCCTTGATACCTCATCAATTTGGGCTCGGGCCGTTATTTTCGAGTATCATGAACTTCTATCATTGTTAAGTTTCAATATTTTCAAATATAAAAGTTATTAACTTGAGAATTGTGTTAGTATTAAAATTATTTTTTTATTATATATATATATACACACACATACAGATATAATAACATTAAACAGTAACATGCTTAATTAAAAATTTAATTATTAAAATGACACTATATATGAGTATCTAAAATACATATAGATAGAAATATAATTTTAATACTATCACAATTCCTAAGTTTGGAGGTCTTAATACCGGCCCATGTTTCTTTTCCGTTACCTGCTACAACAGAAGTAGGTCATTAATGGATGGAAGCCGTCAGACTGGTGGGCTGGGCTCCACAGATGACCTTCATTTGGAGTATATAAATTAGGGTAAATTGTAAGGGATACATTAAATTAGATTTATTTGGTAAAAAATATACATTAAAAAATATAGAGTTATTAAGTACTTAATTTTGATACTTATTTGTATCCAAGTACATAATTTAAATTTATCTATTTTTATTGTGACATTTTTGCCCTTCATTAATCTATGTGTATTTAATGCATTTTTTTGAAAAATGGTGCACTAAACATCTTCTAATTTTATGGAAAAACTTTAATATACACATATATATATATATACATAAATACATATTATATATATATATATATATATATATATATAATATATATATTTATATATACATAAATACACACACACGACACACACACATATATATACATACATGAATACAAATTTTGAAATTCAAACATTCAAATAAATATATATATATAAATACTTATGTATGTATGTATATACTGTTGTTAAATCTCTTATCTAAATTTTAAATTATCTTTTAATGCACTTTGATTTATGTATTTTTTTTAGAAAGTGATTTTATTTTCAAATTAATTTAATATCCGAATAGTATAATAGTGTAACAATATAAAACTAACAATGTAACAGTATAACAATAATAGTGTAACAAACTATTTATACAAAATATTATACTATTACATTTTGTAAAACATATAGTTTCATATAATTTCATTCAAAATAGTTCATATCTATTTTGAATTTATTACCATATACACAAAACTACGGAACACTGTTTTTGTTACAGTGTATTTGTTATACTGTCTTTGTTACACTGTTATTATTACATTGTTATTGTTATACTACTACATTATTCGGATATTAAATTAATTTAAAAATAAAACTATTTTCCAAAAAAAAAAAAACTCTTGAATAAAGGTGCATTAAATATAATTTGAAAATAAAATCACTTTTCAAAAAAAATACGTATGAATTAAGGTGCATTAAAAGATAATTCAAAATTTAAATAAGAGATTTAACAACAAATATATATGTATATATGTACACTTATATGTATTAACAAATACATATGAATTAAATGTGCATTAAATACGTATTTATATGTATTAACAAACACACATGAATCAAGGTGCATTAAAAATAATAAATTTTGAATTAAATAAACCTAAAATGGGCATTAATGTCTTTTTAACTCACATTTCATTTTATATACTATCAAATAAATTTAATTAGGTGTACCAACTTTTAAAAAAATACATAAAATTACTCATTAATGTTCCCGGGTTCAAATTTGTGACAATTTTTTTATTTGTTTTTTTCTGATTTTGGAATAAAGTACAACTGACGGAGATAACGACAGCTCATGCCTGAATTTATGGCAGGCTATTTTGTTGCGGGCACCGACATCGGAAAATTCACGATGATGGCCGTGGACGACGAGCGTACACTCAATAAATCCGTTCATTTTCGACCATCTTGCAATTTCCTCAACATGAATGAACTTGCAGATTTGTGGGAGAAGAAGATCGGAAGAACACTTCCTAGAGTCACCGTCTCTGAAGATGACTTGCTAGCTGCTGCAGCAGGTTCCATTTCTTTTTTCTTTGGTTTAATTGCACTTCACCCCCCCCCCCCCACCTCTTAAACTACGTACCACTTTATTATCCTAACTATGTGTTACTTTTACATTGCACTGCCCCGATGATTAACGTCTGTTATACATTTGAGTGAATTATTTTGAACATTTTACTCTCTGAACCCTTGATTTTGTTTCAATTTTGCCTTGATAGGTTGACATTTTTTGTCCACAAAATGACGGAGATTTACGTTTTACACAGTGCGAACCCAATTCAGATAATTTGATGGGTGAAGTGAGAAATTTAAGAATCGAGGAGATATAATGACACAAATCTTGTAGTTTGACGGGATCAAAGTGTAGTTAACCTTTTTTTCTTAGGATTCCTTTATTTAGCAGGAGAAAGGTGAAAAATATAAAAAAGATAAAGTTTTTAAAAATTTCATATATTTGGTTAGTATGAAAAGGAAAATGGAAGAAAAAATAAATTTATTTTATGCTTAAATTTTCTCACAAATAATTAACTTTTTTTTCTTATAAAAAACATAAGAAAATATAAGAAAGTTGTAATTTATAACTTACTTTCTATTTTATCTTTATTTTAAAAAAATATTTTATTAGTTATTAATATAAAAAAAATTTGTATGAATTTGACTAATCATATAATTTGGCCCAAAGACTTTTGTGTTGTTGATTGTCCTAAAATTAGGTTTTGAGTCACTTTTTAAATTTTTTTAACTTCTAATTATAATTACATAATTTTTAGATTGATTTAATTTATTTAAAGGTAATTTAGACAATTATAATAAATTTCTTATAACTTTTCTTTCTTTCAAACAGTATAATGAATTTTTTTTTAAATTTTTCTGTAAATTTTTTATTCTAATCAAATATATGCATGAAAATATATTTTCTATTTTTTTTAGTTCCATACGGTCCCTTAGGTACAAGCTTTGGCATGCGTGGATCATGGGCCACACGGGCTGATCATCCCAGCCCAGAGGGCTCAGGCCGTTGCCTTTAGATTTTGGTACAGCACAGTTCCAAGTTGGGCCGATCAGGCTAAAGTTTGATTTTACTATTTTACCTACTAACTAAACAAAAGTATTTTCATAAATGGTTGGTTAATATGTAATTAATAAAAACTCCTAAATATTTTCTTCTTAATTTATATTAACCTTGTTTTTCTTTTTTCTATTAATGCAGAAAAAATCATCCCACGGAGCATTGTTGCAGCATTCACACACGACATATTCTTAAAAGGTTGTCAAACTAATTTCTCAAGTAACGGTCCTGATGAAGTGGAAGTCAGCACTCTCTATCCTGACGAGCCTTTCATCACCGTTGATGAGTGCTTCAATGAATTCGCTGTCAAGATAAAAGACAAGCATGGTGGGCCCACGCCCACCACAGCCAATGTCCCAGTTGATTGAATTTTCCAAAGCAGTAATGCTGGATATTATTATTCTATGTGAATATCCTATGTGTGCCAAAGAAAATAATCATTTTTACTTGGAGATGAAAATGGGGATCATCAATCTGTTTGGTTTTTTGAATTTCTCTGTTGTTTCTTTGAGGACTTGTTTAATTTGTAAGAAATTAAAGGCAGTCACTGTTTTGGGGAATAAAATTTTCATATTAGACCCGTTTGGAGCTGATTTTTTGGGTGTGAAACAGATATTTGAAAAGTAAAATAAAAAATTCAAGAGTTCAAAAATTTTTTGAAACCGTTTGGTGTGTTTTTGAAAAAATCGATTTTTTTTTAGAAGCCTTTGAATAAGTTCTATTTTCAGCTTTTCCTTATTGCTGATAAAAGCTATTTTGTCCAAATAATTGATAGAAAAGTCACCCAATAAGCTCGGGTTTAAACGGACCAGACTTTTTTTACTTTGAAACAAAAAAACTGAAGTTTTAAGGCAGCTCCAAACAAGACAAATATAATAATAAACTAAGAGAGGAGAATTAGGTCTTGCTTACTAATAGCTCATTTGGGATGATGTAAGAAATATATGACTTGTTTCATTAAGAGAGGTTCCATTAATACGAGTGGTGCCTGACTATGTTTTCTTCATCAGATTTAGCCCCCTCCAATTTCACAAGAATTGGAAGATCCTGCGATTCACTTTTAAATGAGATTTGTATTTATTAGTAGATTTAGTAGATGTTGAATTTTTAAAATTTAATAATTTTTTTGAATCAATTAAATTTATTTATGTGTATAAATCCTGAATATTTAAAGAGAACTAAAAGATCCTCAAATTCTTAATAAATTAGAGCTCATCTCTCTATTTCTCTCTTGACAAACTTATGAAATCAACATAATTTTTTGTAGTGGTGATTAGGGGTATAACTTGGACAGAGAAATCCAAATCGAACTAAAAAAAATAGCATTAGGGTTAAAAAAGCTTCAATATGAATTGAATTCAGAAAAAACTCAGGTTCACAAGTTTAACCTGAACCCAACCGAAATGATAAAATCGTGCTCAACCTGAATCCAACCCCAAGGTCAACCCAAATTCAAATATTACATTTATATAATGTAAATCATATAAAAATAAAATATAAATACATATTTTGTAATTATTTTTATTATTTAAAAGGGAAGTGAAACATGGTTTATAAGAATTATAGATAGTGAAAAAAGTTTACACATATCGATGCGAGATAAATAAATAAAAAAGATGAGGAATTGTTATCCTATATCGGATAGACAACTCAAATGACTTCTCCCCTATATAAAAAACAATGATTATCTTTACACTCATAATAAATTGTCTTGATAAGTTTCATCTTAATGGGCTATGTAGACTTATGTTATAAGTTGAGTATCACCGGTCGAGATCAGATTAGAATTAGAATTGAACATTTTATAAGATTTTTCGTGAATAAGACTAGATTTCGCAAGCACTACTGAAAAATATGAAGCAATGAGTTTATCTAGTGTGAAGCTTTTATGAGTGAAAGTTCTACTATTTTGTTCCTTAGTGATGGGACAAGTTCAAGGGACCAAACTCAAATTATAAGTCCAGTCCGAGGTTATAGCCCATCTTTGAGAGATTTGGCAATTTGGCAAGTCCAACTCAATGTTGTCAGCTCATTAAGATCAAGGAGTTACATCAACAAGGAAGCATGCAAAGTCATCCAAGAGCCTCTTCTACCACTTTGGAGTAAAAATCATCAAATAGCCTTCTCCTCGCCACCTTGAAAATAAGAGTCATCCAAGAGCCTCATCCAAGCCGTCTTAGAAGAAGTCAACACTCACTTCATCCTTTGACCGAGTCCCATGGAGAGTATTGTAACCGCCTCGCCCGTTGAGAAAAGTTTGCCACCTCTGTCGGATCAGTTACTTAATTATCATTAAGTTGTCTCAATCTGTTATGACTGCCAGACTAGTTATTTAATTACTATGCGTTGTGAGACGACTATAAATTGTAAGCCCCGCTAACACTTGGGAGACATCACACTCATTTGAGCATAATTCTTTTCTCCCCTTCTTAAAGCTTCTAACTCTTTGTTCTCCCTTCATATCTGAGTTAATCAAATACCCGTGACCATTGCCATTCAAAATGGACGTATGTTACATTGACCGAACCACTATAAACTTTGTCTTTTCCCTCCCTCTACTTATTTTACTGTATTTTATACTGCTTACTTGACAGATGGTGTGCAAACCAATTTGTGCATCATCAGTTTGACTCTGTCTGTGGGGAAGATTAAATTCTTACTTCTAAACATTCTCTCTGTTGACCCTATGGTGATAATCCACCACTAGAGGATGAGGTTGCTCCTTCACCAACTAATCTTGTTCCAAATGCACAGCAGATGCTAGAGACAATGCAACAGCTCGTAGCTCAAAATCAAAAATTTCTGCAACTGATGCTCGGACAACAAAGAGGAACACAACCTGGACCTCAAGTCAGAGGAGCTCCAAGCCCTAGTCATCAAGGAGCTCTCCACCTAGGTGTTCCCCATCTAGGCGCCCCATCTTTGGGAGTTCCCTTGGGCGCCCCACATAGGGGGGCCCACCATGAAGGACTTCTACCTCCTCCTCTAACTCCTGTTTTCCACGGTGGAGACCTTAATTTTTAAGAGGATGATGGTGCAAAGCAAAACATGGAGCATGGGAGTTATTTCTATGATAATTTCAAAAGACCTCCCAACCATTGGGACGAAAAAATCAAAGAAGTGCAGAATCAACTATGCGACGTCTTCAACGCTATGAAGAAACAAGGACACGAAACTGTGGACTATCTCATAAGGTGAACACATACGCCTTTCGTAGCCGATGTGAGAAACTACCCACTTCCCTAGAAATTCAAAATGCCATCGGTGGAAGTGTTTGATGGCACAAAAGACCCACTTGATCACTTCGAAATCTACAAGACCTTAATGCAGCTGCACAACGTCCCCGACGAAATTATGTGTAGGGCATTCCAAATTACCTTGAAGGGATCAGCGCGATAATGGTTCGCCAAACTCACTCCGGCCTCCACAGGCTTCTTCCTCAAACTGAGCAAATCATTTGTGGCATAGGTCATTGGTGGTCGCCGCCAGCAGAAGCTTGCCACCTATTTACTCAACGTAAAATGGGATTGAAACGAGAGTCTGAGGAGTTACCTCACTCGTTTTAATGAGGAGGTCCTTCAAATCGAGGAGCCCAATGACAAATTCACCATGATTGTCTTCCTGGGAGGCCTCCGCTCATCGAGTTTCTTCTTTTCAGTAATGAAGCGACCACCAAAGAGCATGCTAAAATTATTGACAAAAGTTCAAAAATATATGAATGCTGAGGACATCAACAGGTCCAGGTAAGGTGAATCATCTCACCGGTCGCCACAACTTTAACCTATCTTTGCTCTGCTCTCAAGCAGACAACCTATCTCCAGCTGAGTGGCTCTCTCACGGGTTTCCAAAAGTTTGGCCTCTGCATAGGGATGACAGTGGATCGGAGAAAAATGGGTATTCGTCCAAACCTGTCTTGTTTGGACCTAGGATGGACTATACATATCGAATGATGGACGTCTATGGGAATACCCGTATAAACCTGTGAGGGGATAGACTTACCCTTACCCCCGCCCCACTCCTCTCTGTCCCCGCTATATCCGTTAAAAAAATATAGATATATATATTAATATATAAATAAAAATACTCCCAATTAAACCCTAGCGGCTAAAGAGAAGACCAGAGACAAGCAGATGCCGAAGCTCTTGTTTGCTGAAACCATTGTACTGCTAGCTGCTAGATATTGATGAATTAAATGATTTTGAAGGCACACACATTCCACCATTGGTATTGAGCTTTATATAGGAAAGAAATTTTGTGTTTTCATGTGTTAAATATATATTTTATGTAAATCATTGCTTATATACTACGTGTTTGATTGTTAGCCTTTTGGCATGGAATTCCCTTTTGTGCAGATTGTTTGCAACTGTTGACACTAAATTAAGAAGTGTAATTCTTCCATTAGGGTACTAATTTTTTTAGTTTTTGTCCTCGATGGTGATGAAAATTTAGTTAAATGGAAGTCCTGCACAACTATATCTTATGATAATTAAAATGATATGATTAAGTGTTCAACGCTCAGGAGGAAAGTGCTTCTTAGTGATATATTGGACATTTGTCATTTGTGTTATGTTGGAATGTTATGCTACATTATGTTGTATATCACTAGAAGATTATGTTAGATTATTTAGAATGTTGTTGGATTATTTAAAAATATTTGAGTTATATAGAATTTTGGATTATGTTGGCTTGAAATTGGGCGGGTGTGGGGGAATGAGATTAGAAATTTACCCACGGACGGGGATAAAAATGAAAATTATATCCGTTAACGGGAGTGGACCGAGAATGGAAGTAGGTTTTTTAAGCGGGTACGGGGATGGAGACTATAACACCCCGCCCCCGCTTCAGTCCATTGATATCATGCACTGCTCTCAAGTAGGAAGCCTATATATCCAGCTTAACGACTTTATCGTTGATCGCCAAAAGATTGGTCTCTGCTCTGCTTTCAAGCAGGTAGCCTATCTTCAGCTGAGCGGTTCTTTCACGGGTCACCAATAGCTTGGCCTCTGCTCTGCTCTTAAGGAAGCAGCCTATGCCTCAAGCTTAAAGAATTTCTCATGGGTCGCCAAAAGCTTGGTCTCAAAAGGTGTACCTCTCTCACGAGCAATCCTCAAACTCTGTTTTTACTCTTGCGCAAACAGTCTACCTCTCTCTTCAGGTAATTATGTTAGATATTTTAATGTTTGGAATAAAATTATTTTTGCCATCTCTAGCTAGGCTCTTGACACTCAGGTCGTCTGTAACCCAAAGGACTACATTAAATTGAATGTCAACAATTGGGCCTCATCCTTTTATGTCCATGCGGCACCGTTGCCTCGTTGCCGCAGCACCCCCATACTTAACATCTAGCGCAAACAAGCTCTGCATGCGCTTGTCCCCATACAGCGGTCCTCCATCGCTATTAGCAAAGTTGCCTGCCAGCGGGACAACGCCCAGCCAAATGGGCATCCTTCGAGCAAGACCCAGCGCCATAGGCGCTTCAAGGATGTTGTCCGCCGCCTGAGGCATCCCAGTGAGCTCCACAAGTGCCTTAACAGGTTGCATGCCTAGGACAACTCATCCCTCCTCCATAGGCTGCTCGCCCAGTATGCCAAGATTAGCGTCTGAGGCCCCTCTGTTGTACGCCCCATCCACGCGTATAACGCCTAAGCGTCCATTAGTGCAAGCCCTTATGCGCTCAAGCCCAGCAGCGCCCACCTTCCTGGACAGCTTGCCCAAAATCTCCAAAAGGGGCGCCCACCTTATTGGCCTGCTAGTCCAAGGCCTCCAAAAGCTCCTCTGTTTGCGCGCCTACACCAATTAGTAAGGCCCCAAGCCCCCCAAGCAACCTCTACCCAGCGGCACCTATGGGGCGGGGTCCCTCCTCAATGACACCCAGCATTGGTGACGCCTCGATATCGATGCCCAGCTCTTGGATCGCCATCTCCTTGGTTCTCGTCGCCTGGGCTGCCTCACTTACTTGGTTCTCCACCACATCAAGCCCGATCAGCTCGTTGCCATTGATATCGATGGTTTCTCCTCCGTTGCTCGACATTGATTTTTGAAAACTAATCTCAAAAAAGAAGATCTCAAATTTTGAACAAAGGGTTTCAAGAAGGAGTTCTATCCCAAGATGAATGAATTGGGTAGAACGAAGAAGGAAGTTTCTATTTATTGCTAGGGTTTTAAAATCCTATTGAAGAAACAATATGCCCAAAATTACAACCTAGGGTTTTTCAAAAATCCAAAAAAGGAAAGAAATGAGGGAGTCTATATAGTCAATGGAGTCTTACAAGCAAAAGGAGTCAACTAGAAAGGAGGGGGTTGCCGATCAAGAAGAGTTTTAAAAAAATTTGGATTTAAAAAGGGACTTATTATATTAAAAAGGGACTTATTATACAACAACTTTTGATCTGAAACTCCAAATGGGACTTATTTTATATAAAATCGAAGTTCTCAACGAGCCCTACAATACTCACTACCAAAGGTTGTGAAAGACGCTATAAAAAGTCCAAAAAAACTCAAAAACATATGTTTTTTCCTCTCGAAGTTTTTTTTTAAAAAAAAATTCAGCTACTTGCTCCCCTAAGAGGCTGTCTGCTCGCCCAGGACACTGTGTGCTCTCCCAGAAGTTGTCTGCTCACCCAAAACCGTGCATCCAGTTCCCTGCTTGCTATTTTTACTGTAATTATTGCTCCATTACTCTAAATGGGACTCATAATATATCAAATTGAAGTTATCGACGAGCCCTACAAAGGCCTAAAAGCACATGTTTTGGCCTCCTGATTATGCCCAAAGAATAACGCGGTAGTTGTAGCACAACTTTGAGGTGTCGATTCTACAGAGAGACAAATAAAAAGAATAATAGAAGGAACAAAGAAACTACAAAAAATATTAAATGATTACTGGAGATAAAGATTAATTTTAAATGCAAATTAAAGTGAAACAAAGTGACTAATGAAAAAAATACTCAAATTTGACAAACAGTAAAGAGTCAGAAGTCCCTTGCACAAATCTGGTATTTTAATTATTCTTAATTCATTGAATAACTCAGTTGAAAATTTAATTCCCAACTGGAAGATATAGATTTATAAATCAAGATTAAATCAAATGTAACCTTTTGAAAAATCGTTCACCACTTTTAAAATACGTAAATTATTATCACTATTGATAAAATTTAACGACGATAATATACTCAAAAAACAATATTGCAGTAAATAATTAAATCAATATAGATAAATAATTGATCTAAATATAATCAAAGAGCTAATTCATTCAATAAAAAAAGCATGACTGAATCCATAAATAGAATAAATTTTATGATTATTCGGAGAAGAAAACATCAATAATAAATTAAGAATGATAAAACAAAAGAGTTTTACTAATTAAAAATCAAATACGTATATTAAAAATAAATAAAATATCATATATTGTGCAAGTTTATCTCTCGCCTTACCTTAGAAATTTAATTACCCATAAATGTAATGCACAACAAAAATTTCCCAAAGGAATAGAATAAATCATCAGCCATCGGAGTCCTTCTCTCTCTGTTTCGTCTCCTTTCCGTTCGTTTAGCAGCCGCCCAGCACAAAAGAAAAGAAAAGGCACAGTCACCACCACCAAAAAAAAAGAAATAGGTTCTAAAGTCAAACTCTTTATTGAAAATAATCTTTTTTTCCCCTCTTTATTCTACCTTTTTTTATTTCAGCCCCTCTTTATTTTAATTTTTCTATTTCAACCCCTAAAGCTCAAACCAATGTGCATGTTGAAAAGGACAAAAGCCCAAATCTGTTGAGTGTTCGGTCCACCATGACAGTGGCATTAGTTTCAACCTTTTTACTCCATGAGTTGCTATCAAAATAAAAATAAATATAAAATTTGAATAATAAAGTCCCAAAAATGTTAAGTATAAAATTCAATTGTTAATTATCTTTCACCAACTAATAATGCAATATTTAGGATTTAAAATATTATAAAATCATGCTCAAATATATCTTAGTGTGAATATATATTAAATTCAATAATATAAATTATATCTAATTATTTATATTCTCATTTTAGTATTTTAATCCAATAATAGGGTATTTAGAATGCACTTTCGCGCATTCATCACCTCCCAAAGTTTTTCCATTTATGCCGGTCATCCAAAAATTCAAACTCAAACTCAAACTGCATGCTCTCCTTTCCAAGTTTCGTTAGACGCAGGGCATTAGGGGACCTAGCTCAAATTATAAGCCCAGTCCGAAGTTATATCTCATTTTCAAGAGATTCAGCAAGTCTAGCTCAATATTGTCAACCCGCACAAGCTTATCAAGATCAAGGAGCTACATCAACAGGGGAGCATGCAAGGTCATCCAAGAGCCCTCTCCTCGCTACCTTGAAGTAAAGGTAATCCCAAGAGCCTCATCCAAGCCACCTTAGAAGAAGTCAACCCTCACCTCATCTTTTGATCGAGTCCTATGGAGAGTATTATAACCACCTCGCCCGTTGAGAAGAGGTCGCCACTTCCGTCGGATCAGCTACTTAATTACCATTAAGTCGTCCTAATCTGTTATGACCGCTAGACTAACTATTCAATTACTATGTGTTATGAGACGACTATAAATTGTAAGCTCAGCCAACACTTGAGAGGAATAACACTCATTTGAGCATAATTCTCTTCTCCCCTTCTCAAAGCTTGTAATTATTTGCTCTCCCTTGATACCTGAGTTAATAAAATATCGACGACTCTTGCCTTTTAAAGTGGACGTACGTTGCTACAACTTTAGAATCGATCACCTAAGTGAAATTGTGCGAATTAATAAATTTCTCGGCAGTCCAAGGTCCAAGCCACAAGGAATTGTGAAAAACTTATAACACAAAGAAAAATAAAGAAAATTATTTTGAAGAAATTGTTGTAGATATTTTGAAATTTAGTTTTAAAACAATAATTAAAAATAGTAAATCATCGGGGATACCTTTTCAAATTCACACAATAATTATTAATGATCTAATTTTCAAACTCAATTGAGAATCAACTGAGGAGTGATCCCAATCAAAATATTTAACGGTGATAATATGAAAACAACAAAAGTTATAATTAATAAATTATCTGAATAAGTATAAGAATTTACTTGTAGATCACAAGCATTCACCGTGCACGGAGTCTTCGATAAATCAAGCTTTCTAACAGGTAAATCTTATTTTATTGCAAATAATAAATCAACTATTTTTTGAGAAATTTTAATTAATTAATTCAAGCATGGAATAACCAGTTATTTGACTCGCAGAGAATCTCAAGCATTCGATGTACGTGGCACAATGAATCAAAAAATTGTACAGAGTAAAAACTTTACTAGAAGATAATAATTAAATTAAAAGAATAAATCATGTATTAAAAAGGACATTAAATCAATAATAAGTACCGTGCTTTATTGAAAGTGTCTCCCTTAGCTTTAGTTGAACTGTTAGAAAGCCATAAAACTTAGAACAAAAACTAGAAAATAAAATATGAAAAGAAAATAATAATAATAATCCTCGTATTCCTAGACGAGAATCCTTAGTTTTACTCAAATATAACATAGATATAGGTACAAGATATAATGTTAGATTGAGAAGAATTTCTTTCCAAAAAGAAGTATGTAGGACTAAATCTTGTGCATAAAATCTTTGAAGCGCAAATACAAAATCTCTTTAGACTTCGAGCTTGAATTTTGTATATTTAGAAGTTGAATCACGAAAATTTCGTGAAAATACATTTTTGTAGCCTTTGAAGTCCTCTTTCTAACCCCCAAAAATTAAGTAAATCGGATATTAGAGTCAAAATTTATAACCAAAATACCAAAGATGTGTCAAATCCTTATCTTGTAGGATACTTTCTTAATCCAACTCTAAATAAGTTTTCTTTCAATTTGAACTCTTATAAAGATTAAATTGCTTTCATTTAATCACAAATAATATGCAATTAACTAATTATTAAATATAATAAAATAACAATTTTTTATGGTTAATTCTAGGTCACGTTGACCGAACACTATAAACCTTGTCTTCTCACTCCCTCTACTTATTTTACTGCATTTTATACTACTTACTTGGCAAGTAGTGCACAAACTAATTTGTGCATTATCACTTAGCATCATGGCAAACTCACTATCCCCATTCCTCTAATTAGAACAGAACAGCAAGAGGTGTTAATTGAGTTGGTCTTGATACACTTAGACTCGATTATATCTGTCTCGTGCACGTTCTTGCTTAAGTTTGACTCAGTGTCAATCTCGTAAACTTAGTTTTGAATTTTTAGGTTCACCTTTTGCATATCATTCAACTCGAACCGATTCAAATTTTTTGTGCTAGGATCGGATACATTATCAACCTTTTGAATTCTTATATTTTCATCACCACTGCCCAAAAAATTGTCACAAAAAATACCCAGCCTGACCCCCAACAGCACCATCAATCATCATTGTTCGAAGCAATAGCATCAACAACAGACCATCTCCTACTACAAACACAACCCATCTTCATTCCTGTTAATCTTGCAGCCATCAACACCAAGACCATTTTCTCATCTTACTGATTTTTTTTCTTGAAAGTTGCAAATTTATTTTAATTTTTGACAAAATAGCGATCATACCAACACTAATTCATTCCTCAATTACACATGTTCCGACTCTTTTTCTTGACAGTTGCAATTTTTTTTAATTTTTAGAATAAATAGCAATCATACCGACACTAATTCATGAAGTTGGTAAAAAGGAAATGTTGCTAGAGAAAGATTATTACATGAAGTTCTTGCAGGTTAATTTACCTATGGGTAGTGATCATTACTTGAGAATGGGAACTTGAATTGAAAAGTCTGGTCCCTTAATGATTGATGAGTAAAACAAACTACTACAACATAACAGAATGCTAGAAGACGGACACAAAAAAAAAAAAAAACCTCTTGAAGCACCGTGGCCCATGTAGATTCAAGTGTCTGGGTATATATCTTTTAAAATCTCAGTTAGTCCTTTCATGTTGCCTAAGTTTCCAACTTGATTATGACCTTTTTAAGGAAGATATGATCTGAAAATGATGACAGAACAAAACTGCTGAAACCTCATGGAATTAAAAAGAAACAGAATCACTCATATGTGGATGATTATATTTAGACTAGGTTTGAGATTTAGCCATGTAAATTTAATACAACTATTCTCATTTCCTCTTCATGGACATTATATTTAGGGCAATTTTTTTTTCTACTGGCCACCAACAAAACCACAATCAAGTCCTTGTACTGATCACTCACTAGTAGGTCCACAAAATGGCAAGCTGGTTGTTGCAGATGTTAATGCAGTTACTGTTGCCATATCAACTTCTTTTTTAAGTACATTTTTCTTTTTGAAAAAAAAAACAAAGATATTAACTTAAATCTGAATCAACTTGGTCTAATGTAAATGTCGTAGATATATTTCTCGAGTAATCTTATTTATACCTAACAATCTAACCAACAATGACATGGTTCAATAATCAAATTGCATTGAAACTGTCAAGTTTTTTCATTGAGACTATATCATTTGGTACATCAACAAAATAAGTCAAATTTTTAGATCCAAATAATATAAATCGCATTTCTTACAATTCTTACAATTCGAAAGACTAGGTGCACTGACATCAAAATCAAAAGAATGTCACTGTTTTAATATAACAGCATAACACATACTCATGCAGATATGCATGCAGATGAATTTCTTCTACTAGGAATACAGTAGACAATTCAGGCTTCCATGACAAGTGAATTAATACTTGGATAATATTTGATTTAGCAAACCCTCAACCAGAGGATATAGAGCATACCCTTCATGAAATAAACCCATTACACCAAGAAACCAGACAAGCAAAAACATGGAAAAAAAGAAACCAAAAAAAGTGAGAGAAAGAGACCAGAAATAGAAGAAAAACAAAGATATGAAGTAATATATACATTATACAAGCTTCCCACAAACAGTCCATCACAAGCTCTCGTGACTCTGAAACCTGCATGCCACTTTAGGGTTGGGTTTTTTTTTTCTTTATTTGTGGGACACCAGAGCTGGAAGCCTGAACAGAAACAGCAAACTGTACGGATTAGAAGGAGATGGTGATGGTTGTCGAGGTGGAAGTAGAATATCTTCACCATTCTTATGATTCTAATGCCAGAGTCTGATGAGAGATAGAGACATTTGAAGGGTACAATCACTAGAAAACAAACCCAAACTGCATGTTTGCGTCCAAACCGGTTCAAGAAAAGCAATCGAAAGTCCCCAATTCTATGTTAGGTTTTGATATAAGGTTTCTCTCCCCACGAAAAAGATCCTTCACTCTTTTTTCCCCCAACAAACCAACTCTCTCTCTCTCTCTCTCTCTAACCAGCATTATGCACATACAAACGAAGCACGAGAAGATTGGAACCCCAAGTTCCCCACAACAAACAATCCACTCTCTCTCTCATCGCCTCTCCCTCTTTCCCCAGTAAGTCATGATAAATATATAAAGGACACCACAATATTATAGTTCCTAAATAGTAAAAACAAAAACACCCCCAAAAAAAGCACACCCGAAAAGAACATTATTTAGAAAAAGTTGGGTCTTTCTAAGTTAAAGAGATCTTTGCTCAAGGATATTGATATTAGTTCTTTGTCTCTTAACACTCCCGGAAGAAGACTCATCACCATTGGTTTTCTCCATGACTGCTTTAAGTGCTTCTTGTATTGAACTTATGGAGTATTGTTGTTGCTGCTGCTGCTGCTGTTGTTGATCCTCGCTGTTCGAATCTTCGTCCCCAGTGATGAATAACACATTCTTAACACGCCCACCTAGTGTAGTGATCTCAGATTTTAGGGTTCTTAATTTTAAGGCTTTCAAGGTCTTGATTAGGTCAGGCAAGAGATCTGACCTGTCTTCACAGCACAATGAGGCTTTGATCACAAACTTACCATCTTCATCAGATGCATTATCGACTGTTAACTCGTCCATCTCAGTCGGGATTGGACTTGATTCAGCTATCAATGAAGTCTGACGCTTAAGCTCCTTAACATGTTGGATCACTTCAGCCAGCAATGAAGCTTTGTCCGTCTATAAACCACAGGCATTTTAACCAAAAGAGCGCAATAAGAAACCAAAAGACTGTACACAAGAGAGTCCATTATCTTGCAGGCAAGATTAAGTACAGCTTAATACACATACATGCAACATGGGCATTTGTAGAAACAAGGGGTATTCAAGTACACAGACTCCATTAAGGTGGATTTTTATTCTTATTCTCATATAAAGCTAATGTTTTTACGACTCCAACTCGTGAAACGAAGATAAGGGTGCAACAAACTTGTTATTTTCGCAAAAGAAGAGAGAAGTTGGGAAGATATTTTGCTAGTTTATCATTCAAACTAGGAAGTTAGTGTTATTAATGGTGGGTTTTTAGGCTAGGTATGGGTATATGGTGTCTTTGACTGACAAGAATGCTGCTTTGTCTTTCTTTACATCTTTTCATTCTCTTCTTATTTTGCCTGCAAATCCGGCAAGAATTTTCCATGGAACCTTTTTAACTGTTGCTTGGTTTCACTTTACCATATCAACTGAGCGACATAGACGCTTTGTACCCTTTTTCGTTTTTCTTTCCTTGGAACTATCACCAGCCTCAAACCACCAGCAACCAAAGAATAGAATATGAACCGGACACATTAGAAAAAAAATGAATGGTCACATTGAAAATGGGACTAAACTTTGTGATACTCTTTGTACCTAAATATTTACTACTTCACCACTAAATTTTCATGTATATTATCTATATCCCTGGCCTCCACCCATTGCCAATCTAAGTAGAATCTTGGGAAGATATTCAAAGATCCTGAAACCTAAAAACCCAATACAATTGAAAACAAAAAGGGTAGTTTTTTTTATTATAGTATAAACTCACTATGTTGTACTTGTGAGAATAAAATGATTATGATTGTTAGGTTGATACTTACTTTGGTGGTGCTGGGTAGTAAACTACGCAACCTGGCAAGATGGTTGTTGATTCTCTCTCTTCGTCTCCTTTCAGCTTCACTGTGGCTCTTGGAAGCAGCAAGAGCCTTGGCATCCATGATCTCCTGAGCAGTCATCTTCTGCAACTCAGCTTGGAGACCAAAAGGAGCTGAACCGGGTTGAACCACCTGACCAAATGTGTCGGACATGAGTCTGAGGTGGTCTGATGATGGACCTTCATATCCAAATTGTAGACCAGATGGCCTTCTGTTGAATAAACCTCCATACGATGGTGGTGGTGGAGGAAGAAGAAATGGGTCATGATCACGGACCGGGTTGGTTGGGTAGTGGACCGGGTTGAAGCTGTGAACCGGAGGAAGAGTCCATGGTAGGATTGGAGAGACTTCTGGGAAGATCAATCCTGACCTTCCTCCACCACCACCACCACCTATAAATGGATCACTGTTTTGTTGTTGCATCTGTTGATGATGTTGTTGAAGAAGTAATTGTTCTTGGAAGCTTTGAATGTTTTGTAAACTCTGTGAACACTCTCCTTGTTCTTCTTCCTTCTTACCACACATACCTCACTCTATTGCCCACCTCTCTCTCTCTGTGTGAATCGTTATATTCAGATATCCAGAGAGACTATATATAGGGCATATATATAGCAAGGACAGTAAAACAAGTATCAAATTAATTAACTTTAGGCTTGTTTCATCATCATCTGCTCTTTCTTTCACATAAAGATGAAAAGGAGGAATTTTGATTAGAAAAGAATCAAATACTTGGATTTACTTGCTCTGGGAAAGAGGGTCTAAAAGGGATATTAAGGAAGAAGCAGAAAAGGAAGTAAGACAGACCTTGTTCTGATATGTGAATGGAGGGTTTTGGACCCCCTTTCTCTCTGTTCTGTCTCTCTATCTCTCTCTTCTCTCTTTACCTGGGTAGGTTTTTTCTTCCACAGACACAGCCTTCGTGGGGGTGAATGGTGATGGCCCTTTTATCCTTACCTTCAACTAAGCTTTCCCTATCTATTGTGCTTTATTGGAATCTTTTGGTCTTGTGGGCCCTCGTAGTCTGCCCCTTCCCCCCCCCCCCCCCCCTCCCACCCCCACACCACGCCACTCCTCACATATATAGATGTGTGTAAGTACTGCTAGTCGCCTTTCCTTTCTTCTTACGGCATTCTCTTTTTCTCTCTCACAATCCACTTCTCTAGCCATCAGACTATTGTTTTTTTGTAATCATATACGAAATGTTTCTACCATACCTTTAAAATATGTTGCTTTATAGTTGGTCCAAACTGTATAATTACACTCTGTGAGTGCTGCTGCGGCAGGAGGAGAGAGAGAGAGAGATGGGGGGAAACACAAGCACAACAGAGTGAACACACAACACACAGATTGTCGACCGACCAAAGACAATATTAAAGCAGATATATATATATATAGATAGATAGAGAGAGGGTGTTTGTGTGATGGATGTATGTTGATAAAAGGGGCTAGTTAACTTTCCTTTGCGTTTGGTACCTCGGCAAGCCCCCACGTTCTTCCTTTTTCTCTCTCTAGCTATTTCCACGCCACCCCTTTCTGCTACCCCAAGACCCATGTAATCATTGTGTCTTGGAACACACTCCTCCCCTCCTCTTACACCCCTTCCTCTCTCTAATCTAATCTATACACACACACACATATATATATATATACACACACATATATATATATACACACACACATACGTGTGTATTTATAAGCCCCTCGGTTTCAGTCGCATTACTTGAAAATATTCATGACATTTACTGCTCCTTTTGGAATTAAAAACCCTTTGGAAGGAATGAGACTAGAGCACCCTGTACTTGTGTATATATTGAATGGAGCAGCCCCAATACTAGCCCCTAGTAGTAGTATTGGGTAAATGAAGAGTTGGTTCAACCAAGGGCAGCATAGTCTTTGTGTAACAAAATACTAAGAGCCACCCATTATAAACTACTAGCAACTACATACCAATTTAACTAACAACCCTTCAGTCTCCTCCTCCAACCATTGTTTTACCATACGAGCTCTGCCATTTGCTGGGTGGTTGGACCAAAAGGGGTTTCCATTACTTTTAAGTTTTACCCCATGTAATGTTTGTGTACGGTAAATAAAGAAAAGAAGAAACCAAGTAAAAAAAATAAAAATTGAAACAGCAAGGAAAGTTGGTGTGGTCCAGAGGTCTTGGTCAGCAGTCTGTATAATTACACAGCTAGAGCACACACGAGAGAGGAGTTAAAGTTTATAAAAAATTTAAAATTTAACTATTTTATCCTAAAATTTCACTTTGATACAACATCTATAAAGTTTCTATAATAATATTTTGCTACAATAACACTATATTTAGAGTATTATTGTAGTAACAATTATAAATATAATATTATCTCTCTCCTCTATTCTCTCTCTTTTCCTCTCTCACTATTCCTAAAAAAAAATGAAAAATAGTATTTAAAAGAAGTAATTAAAAATATAAAAAACCTATTGGATTGTGTATTAAAAAAGTGAGCAATTAAAATAAAAAATATTATTTTTTGAATAATTAAACTAATTTTTATTGTTGGAGATGCTCCAACTTTAGAGCATCTTAATAGAAAGGCCAAAACTCTAAAATAGCTAAAATTTAGTTATTTAAAAATAAAAATTATGCTCCAATAAAAGATGTTTGGATTAGGTAAAATATAATTTCGTTATAGTGATGCTCTATATTTAGAGCATAATTGTAGGATGATGTATAAATAGTTTATCATATATTTTTCTTTTTTCACCTATTTTATCCACTCTTTGTCTTTCCCTCTATTCTTTCTTTATTTCTCTCCCTCTAACATTTTCAACAAAAGTACAAAATATGAGAAATAATATTTTTAAAAAGTAGTTAAAATATAAAAAATTTGTTAGAGTGTATTGAAACAGTGAATAGTTAAAATGAAAAAAATGTATTTTTAGATAGCTAAAATATAAAACCGTATTGGAGATGCTTTTAAGAGAATCTCTAATATATCATGTAAAACTTCAAAATAATTAAATTTATCTAACTAAAGACAAAAATTGTGCTCAAAGAGAATATGTTCAGATGCTCTAAAATAATTTTTTGTTACAGTGATACTCTAAATATAAAACATTACTGTAACAATTTGTATAAATATTTTATAATTTTTACTCTCTTTTCTTTTCTTTTCCCACTTCTCTTGACCGTTGTTTCTCTCTTCCTATTTCCAACAATCACAATAAATGTACAAAATATGTGAAATAATATTTAAAATATAAAAAATTTGTTGAAGTGTGTATTAAAAAAATAAATAGTTATAATTAAAAAAATGTACTTTTAAATAGATAAAATACAAAACTTTATTAAAAATGTTGTAGTAAAAAGCTTAGTTGAAAAAGATAAAAAAAAAAGTAGCACCACAAAAGGGAGACATAAACAGTTGTAGTGTTGGTTTGGCCCTATTTGACATTAAGCATTAGCATTCATGTAGGAATAGAACCCTAAACACTGTAGTGTCAGCAAGCTAATTTCATTGTCTCTCCTGGTGGTGCACCATACCTACCATTTCTTCAGTACGGGTACCCTCTATTCACTTATTCAGGCCAGTCTACAATCACTGCTCTCTCTCTCTCTCTCTCTCTCTCTCTCTCTCTCTCAATGCTCTGAACCAATATTGCAGTTAACGGAAAAAAAATCAAAAACAAATAACAGCATTGTAACATAAGTATTTACCTGGTACGATAGAATACTCTACGCATCCACGACATTGTCCGTTCTTTCACTATGTAAATTTACATGGTTTGCTAGAATATTGCCGCCGCCCACCGAGGCACCCATTCTTCTCTATGTATCTGTATTATAGAATTACAGTTGATATAATGATATTAATTGAAAATCTTATACCCTTTTGTACATTGCTAATACTTCTTATCCGTTGCGTGGTGCTCCACTATGCTATGCTTGGTTTCGTTCTATTCATTGACAGACCATTGAGAACTCTTGAGACTAATAAACATAAGACATAACTATTACCTTTATTCTCAATAGGGGTTATCATCGGATTTCTTATTGTAGAATGTTTGATTTGACCTATAACAACTAATTAAGAAAGATAGTTTGTCACCACAACACTATTAAAATCAAACAATAAACTGCGTTATTTTCTATTTGATAACCACATGAGAGTCAAATATAATTTTAAACGAGTACGATTAACCACTAGATCACCGGTTCGAATGATTGATCTCTAACATTTATAAAAGGGTTTTTTTCGACCTTTTTGGTGGGTAGACATATCTACTTGGGTGCCCATTCTTTCATCTTTTTAGGGCCTTTTGTCTATTATGTGTTATTTTAGTGTCTTCTTCAAAGATTTGATGATAGCTGCAACCCCCCCACTAGCATAACCCACGAGAGAAAGGCCTTGTCCTTGTGTAGTTGTGTGTGTGTGTGTGTGGCGTTTATGATGACATCAGTCCCACGCTGTCATGACGTTTGTTCCCCACAAAGTAGTAAGTGCTTATAATTAATGGATTAGCAATCTAAAAAGCAACTTAATTATGGGCTATTCCCTTAAATAAGTGGGTTTAGTTTGATGAATTCTTCTAATCGAAGCTTCATTTTATATTTCTAATAACCAAGCGGCGGAAAAAGGTGGAGGGGAATTTATTATTTAATGCAAAGTAATATCATTGTCCCCATAATATTGATAAAGAGCATTCCTTTGTTCTCATTACATTCTTAATTCTCATTTACATTTTTGGGGGTCATAACACATGGAGGGGCGGAGCCAGAAAATCGTTTTTAGGTGGATATTGAATATTTTAATAGGTTTTAATTTTTTATTTTTACAATTGATAAAAATAGGATAATCCATTTATATTTAAAAGTTCATTAAATTTAAAAGACTAAAATTGGGTAAGCATAGTAGATTCAAATGACCAAAAAAAAAGATTAATTATATGTTTTTACTTAACAAAGGCTAATCAAAATCATTTAAAATTAATTTCAATGAATTTTTATACTTTGAAAGTCTTTTATTAATTATATTATTTTTTATATTCACAATTATACTATCACTTAACTATTTATCATTTAGTTAATTACGCAATTAAATGTGTTATATGTCATGTTTGTGATAATTTCTAAAATAAATATCAAAATTACAAATAAACTCATGGATTTATCATGCCTTTTTTATCTTGACTAAAAAATAAGGTGGGCACAATTTAAAATATTAAAATATATACAGATAATTTTTAAATTTTTCTTTGAGAGTGGGCATGTGCCCCCGTTGGAATAAGGTGGCTTTGCCCTTGAGCACATGCCATTATGTACATAATTTAAAAGTTCCCGCTACAAGATTAGAAAAATATAAGTGGTAAATAATTTTATCCCACTATGGAAAAATGATTAATCTCTCAACTCAAATCGATACATTTGGGGTGAATAGTATTTTTATCGTTTTCCAACCTTAAAAATTCACAAGTGGTACATGGACAATATTAAAACATTGGAGAGACAATTAAACTTTCCAAAATAAGACTTGTGTGTTCTTATGTCAAAAATCTCCAAACTCAAAAAAAAAAAAAAAAGAATCATCTTTATATTTACAAAGGCCATCAAATTTGATCTTTTCTATACCTATATTCTTCAAAATATGTACTAGTCCATAGCACTTTAGGCAGTAGCCTATAGCGCTAACGTCAGCTAGATACCAGAGAGCCACAAGATTTTCGAGACAACTTTAGTTGGATTCTTGTGATGTCTTGTATTCTATTCTGATTTTGTTTTGAATTAAACCAATCAAATATATAAATATTTAGAGCAAAAGGGACG